TGCAATTCAGGAAGAGTCAGGTTAAAAAAAACTAAACCTGTTGCCACCAGTCAAGTCGATTCTGACTCATAGCTACCCTATAGCACAGATACCTTAACTGTTTTTTGGTTGACCTTGCTCTCTGAGTTTCTTCCCAGTTTGGAATCCTGTTGGAGCCACTGACTTCATCCTACATTAGCATTTGAAGGGTTTTTGCATTCCAGACTGCCTCTAGAATTGTGGCCCATAAATCATTTTACTAGAAATAAAGGACAATTAAAATCAATCTACATCATATTCTCAACAACAGCAACAAAAATAGAATAAATCTATATGCTATTGTTCTATTATGGTGGTATTTTACAAATCATGGTGGCTTTATTTCAGAAAAGCAAAAATTTGGGGGACTGGTGAATGGACAGATGATACAGACAGATACATATTTGATTGAAATTAATATTATAATTTCATTTAAACTAAATAAAGTCAACTGCTACATTTCCTTGAAATAGTTCAAACTTCTGGCAATAGTTTGATGTTAAAAGACATATTTTTATTTTAATGAAAAAAATTTATTGACATAAAAACTGTTAATCATTTTCATTAACATCCATTCCAGTAGCGACATGGGGTCGCTATGAGTCGGAATCGACTTGGTGGCAGCTAACAACAACAACAAAGCTGAACTAATGTAGTTCTTCTGGATTGGTCTTGTCTTAGATGAGAGTACTTGAAAGGGTAGAAACAGATATCCAGGTGGACAGACCTGTTTTTAATAGCTTTGTGTTAATGTCCTCATTTTGGGGGAGAGATGTGTGAGGCCACTTCTTCCTTTTCTTCCATATACATAAAAATTTTGCTGAAGAACATATAGGAGAAACAGAAACAGACAAATAAATGTACACACACACACACATACACACACAGTGAGAGACAGACAGACACACGTACATGAACAGTTGCATGAGTGTTTAAACAAAACAAAAACCTGATACCGGTCATGGTATCCCAGAAAGTGGATTAGAACTGGATCTTTAAAAAAACATGAGTGCTAGACGTAGTTCAGCTATTCAACTGTATTCTTCAGTAATTCACATAACAACTCTGGGCTTCAATTCCCATCTGTAAATTAGTACTGAATTAAATTATTTGTGAGGTCCCTTCCAGCTTTGTGAATCGTGTTTTAGCTGAGGTTTTTCCACCCCACTATTCCTAAGGCTGAGAGGAAAAGAAGATCAAATGTGAACTAATGTAGCAGGGCTTACCAAGGAAGCCTCAGGAGTCAAGATACTTGGGTTCAAATCCCACTTATGACACATACTAGTTGTGAGACTTTGAGCAAGTTATTTAGCCTCTGTGTCTCAGTTTCCCCATCTGTAAAATGGGGATAATTATGATGGTTATAGTAACTATCACCTGAGATGGTTATGAGGATTTAATTAGTTAATATATGTCAAATACTTAGAACACTGTCTGGCACACAGTAATGTTTTGCTCGTACATAAATGTTTCTTTTTTAGTACTTATTGCTTGAATTCTTCTTAGAAAACTATGCTAAGGATTCTGAGGAAGTGGTGATAATGTTGATAAGTACAAGGATATTATTAATTTCTGTACAAGCACAGATCAAAAAATCTGGCCTTAGAATCTGTTTTGAATACCGTACTATGTATTTGAGTACAGTACTGCAGTATTATAAATGTTGACCTTTAAGAGTACTAACTTAATTACAGAGCTTGTCTCCAGAGGCCTTCTTCAGAGTGTATATTGACAGTATTGCGTAAACAATTATCTTGATTCCTTAGCACCATTGTAATTTCTTTGTAAGTACACTATTTATATTTCAGAATGACTCAAAGCATCCTTTCTCAAAGGGTCCTGAAATTTACGATCTCTAAAACTGTTTTTAAACCATTCTGTTTTATATAATGCTGTCTTTAGTGTGGCTGGAAAAAGCAGGCACATAAGACAAAGCAAGGCATTCTGAGAAATACCATGTTATGGTGTTCTCATGGTAGGGAAGGCTCAGATCTAGTTGTTGTAGCCTTTAAAAGTGGTATGTGGTTAAGTATTTGTTACAGGGGATACAGAAACTCCAGCAATGTCTTTAGCTTCAACTGAAAGAAGCTTGATCAGAGTATCTTGCATAATATTGTAGAATTCAATAAAATGAGATTAGTTTTTGTACCTTGATTTTAGAACTTTTGTAAATTGTAATGGCAAAAAACAGCTTTCTTTAGCAAATGTACAAAAGATTTATTGATCAGAAATGCTTTCTTGATCAGAAAATTATTTTCTGATAGCAGGTTGATATGTTTTCCTTCTGTAGCCTGACCCTAAAATGCCAAAAGTGGAAGGAGAGAGGGACCATTTGGGAGATTGTCGCTCTCTTACTCCACATCCATAAATAAGCCTTCGGAAAAAGCATAAGTGCTAAAGGGTGGGGAATCTTAAATCTTTTGAGATAGTTAAGGTAATGTGTCAACACCGTCCCACCACGATACGACACACTGCTTTGGATATATTTTTTAAAATAGCAGTGCATTGTTGCCCATATTTTAGATTTAGTGTTTATACACCTTACAAGTTTATTTTTTATTTCATATATAGTAAGTTTTTAAGGAAGTACATCATCTAGTAGACAGTTGTCAGAAACAGCCATTTTGTATGTTAGTCTAGGCTCTATGAATTTTAAGAATTAACTGTCCTCCTGTATATTTGGTTTTATGAATATGATGTGAAAGAATCTTTGCATAATTGAAGCAGATTTGCTTTGCATCCTCGCTCATATCTGATCACTAACACCAAAAATCTACTGAATGGCCAGAATCTCAACTTAGTAAGTTATAGCCTGAGTATGAATTTCTTAAATTTGATAGCTAAGTACATAACAAAAAAGTGATTTTTGTCCAGTTTTGTAAGGAGTAATCTCCTGGGTAAAATATTTGATTTGTGTTTTATACTATGTATATTTTCTTGACGTGTTTTTCTGACGGGAAATATCTAAGAGTCATCTTAAATTGTTGTTTTCCCTCTTTTATGTCCCATTTCACTAGCGCTTAGAAAGAAAGCCTTGAGTTCCACATGAAGACATGCACGAACCCAGATACTAGACAGACAGATGTCTTACTTGTAATCCACCATGCCCTGTCCTACTGCTTACGTAACATAGAAATTGTTTGGGATGTTTCTTTTTCTGCCACCCAATCTCTATATAGTAAAAAGACAGCAATGCCTGCTATCCTATAGAATTCAGAGTTCCAGTACAGAAGCTGGGACTTCTTCAAAGGGAAAAGAAAGGCACAACCAGAATTAACCATAATGAGGGAGCTTGTCCACAAATGGTTTTTATTTCAAATTTACAGGCTTTAACATTCTTTAGACAGAAATATCTCTGTCTAAACTCTAAGGCAAGTTGGCTTTTGGAGAGTGTCTAATGGAAGGAATGAGCTTAGCATCTGGTTAAAATGATCTTGTCTTTTGAAGTCACTTAATAGATGATGACAATGACAAATAACAGCTTATTTAGAAAATAAGTAGGGAATGAGTATGTAGACTACAATATGGCTTTCCAAAGATCTGGCAATCGTATTTCTAGTATGGGTTACCTGTTGCCGTCCAGTCGATTCCGACTCATAGCGACCCTATAGACAAGAGTAGAACTGCCTCATAGGGTTTCCAAGGAGCAGCTGGTGGATTCAAACTGTGAACCTTTTGGTTAGCAGTCATAGCTTTTAACCACTGCACCACCAGGGCTCTAATATGGGTTAGGAACAGCCTTTTTCTGAAAATCCTGAGTCACATAATTTATATGTTGGGTAGAAATTGATGGGTAGCATATTCAGTGTTTATGTATATGTTGGTTCTATATTCTTGTTATTGGCTGCACAACAAACCCACACACCCCCTCCTAAATTCTGAGATTTATAGTTAGCTTAATGACTGATTCTTGGTTGAATGAAACATGCATTTATTGCATTGCATTATTCCTCCTTTGACACTGTCTCTATCTGGCTGTTAGGTTTCAGCACCTCAAACAGGCTTTCTAACTTGGTACCTGTCTTAGTTATCTAGTGCTGCTATAACAAAAATACCACAAGTGGGTGGCTTTAACAAACAAATTTATTCTCTCAGTTTAGGAGGCTAGAAGTCTGAATTCAGAACACTGGTCTAGAGGAGGGTTTTCTCTCTCTGTTGGCTCTGGAGGAAGGTCCTTGTCTGTTCTGAGCTTCTGGTACTGGGAGATCTTCATGTGGCTTGACATCTCTCTTCCCCCCTCTCTGCTTGCTAGCTTGTGTTTAACTCTTTTATATCTCAAAAGAGATAGACTAAAGATACACCCTACACTAATCCTGTCTCATTAACGTAACAAAGACACCCCATTCCCAAATGGGAGTATAACCACAGGCATAGAGGTTAGGATTTACAACACATATTTTTGGGGGACACGGTTCAATCCATAGTAGTACCTTAAAGTTCAAGACAAAAATTACATTTTATCAAATAAAGTTTAAAGCTTATCATTTTTTTAAAAACTTGCTGCGTCTAAGACTGGTTAGGAAAACATAAACAAATAAATGGGATGAATAAGTGAAAATTAGTGGGGAAAAATAGAAGCTGAGGATGAGTAATCAGCTTTATGGACAAAGTCAAGATGGTGTGACAGGTTCATTTGTTTAAGGGTTAGTGGGAAATGAGAGGATGATAATTTTTCTTACACAAATTTGGCAATTTGAAAAATTCAGTAGTAATTATGGTATTTTTGTATCTGAGTGCATTATGCATAATTCATGGTGATTCAAACAGATATGCTTTTGTCAGTTCAGGAAGAGAAAAATCTCTTCTAGTAATATTCGGAAGTTAGTCCTTGAAATGGCAGTGGACATCTTAAAGTAAAAAAGATGTCCAAAGCCTTCATCTTCTCTAACTATTACTACAAAAGGGAGATCAGATTCCTGATATTTTTCCTATATTACTCAGCTTCAACTTGAAGAACTGGCTATTTTCTTCTCTCTTGTCTGTATGAACCTACAGCTATCAGGCCTCATTAGCGATAATAACAGTTGATGTTTATGGGATTTACCAAATTGTTTACAGTATGGTCACCTGGACAATAAATTTCCTATTATTTTGCAGCATTGGACACTTCCCCACCATGCTGCCAGCTTTTTAAGTATATTCGTCAATTTTCCCAAATTTTAACTGAAGAAATCCACAAGAGTTTATATTTGAGGACTAACGTGTGACTCTACCAATTATCAGGTCAGTATCACCCACCCCCAGGATGTCATTGGCATCCCAAAACAGAATGCAGTTTTACTATCTTTCATTTACATTTCAGACAAAAAAAGTATTGCAATGTTCTGTATATTGAGATTAGATTCGAATGTATAAAACAGCAAAGAACTGCTAAATTTTATTATTTATAAAAATTTGTGGGAATGTGTAGAAAGAGGTCTGTTGGTTCTCAAGTTACACAGCTGTGGCTCTATTTTTTCTTTATGTCATATTTGTATTGTGTTCACTTCATGTAGACACTAAGCTAAATGAGTTGGCCCATAATAGCAAAATGTTCCAGATACTAAAATTTGTGTATAGAAGTGATTTGCAAATGTAGAGATAACAAGTAAGAGCTTTGTTCTTTATGCCATTGACAAAGAATAGAATTTTTTCTTGCCTAGACTGGACTGCTTTCTAACTAAAGTGACTGAGGATGGTTTCAGTTTTACTCTTTTATGAGGATATTTATTTGATCAACAGATCAAAGACTTTGATTTGTATACAATCTAATTTAGTTCTATATATATTTGCCTCTTATTCTTATTTAACTGGATTCTCTAACAAATAGTACTTGATTTATCAATACCCACAGAAGCGTAGAATGGAGCCAAGAAGGACTTTAGAAATGATCTAGTCTGTCTTATTCTACCTGTGAGGAAACTCTGGGCCCGAGTGACTGGGTGATCCCTCACCCCACCCCACCCCCAAGGTCATATAGAGCTGTGTAGTGGCAGAGCTGAAACTAAAAATTCCACATTCCTCATTTCTGGTCCATTATTTTTTACTCATATCACACTGCTTCTTTAAGCCAAAGTTTTGGATCTCTAAGTAAGAATATTTAAAGGCTGTAAAGGTGCTGAAGAAAAAAGAGTAATATGTGCAGAACTCTATCATTTTTAACTCTATTCCTACCTTCCTACCTTGGTGCTTATATAGCCAGTTGATTTTATCAGTGCAGTCAGTATTTTTGGAGTACCTTTACCATGTGCCCATTAATTTGCTTAATATCATGGGAGGGAAGAGGAAGGGCATAAAAATGATTAGACATTTTCCTCTGCCTTATACGTAATCTCTCTGAGGGAAATAAAAACATGAAGCCATTGGAGGGGGAGGTGGCTCATCTAAGGAACCAGTGTGACTCAACTGATAGTTTAAATTCCTCACCATTCTTCACTCCAGAGTGCTATCACCATTCTCCATCTATGGTTTCCAACTACATTAGGGCAGCTGAAGGTATTTCTGAGATCTTTGACCTTGGCTGCCCCCAATTTTGATAAGGCCTTTCTTAGAATTCTTTTGGAAAATGAGAAAGGATAGTAGTTATTAATAATTAAACCATTATTGAGCTGGTATCAGGAACTTGGCAAGATGTTTTACATTTATTAACTCATTTAATCCTCACAAAAATCCTATGAATTTGATATCATCATCCCCCTTTCACAGACAGGAAAACTGAGAATCCAAAAATTTACCCGAAGTTACACAATTAGGAAGATGAAGATGCAGACCTAAGATCCTTGTGACTGCAAAGCCACATGCTCTTTCTAACATATCATCTTATATTAAGTTTAATTTTACTAGGTTTTTTTAAAATTAGTTTTTATTTTTAAACAAACTGTCGTGAGACACGTCTCTAATGCTAAAGAAGTCAGAACCACTTACTTGTGACTAAAACTCACTAGTTAGAAAGTTAGCAGTTAGATCTGAGGTTACATTGAGCATATTTACGATGTGGTAAAAGATCTGTACAGCATGTCCTGAAATACAGTCTAACAACACAGTGAAGTATGCATTTTCTACATGTTCTTTTTCACTTAAAGGCAGTAGCTCTGGAAGGAATCAAAGACTCTTTTGTGTGCCCCCTAAAATTTAATGTGCTCATAAGAGTTGGGAATTACTTCAGGGTGTGTGAACTAGTCATGTTGTGATTCACTTTAAAGAAAACTATTATGAGAGTGGCAATTTGGAAGTAAAAAGTGGGAGAAGGAAAATAATATTTACTCTACTTTGGAAGTTATAAAATGTATCTTACCATACCTAGTGGTCAGATGACCCTTCAAAGATTGTATAGTCTAACTTCTGTCTATGTGTGGTTTGTGAGAAATTAGTCTTGTGGAAAGGATTAAGGTTGTGCCACACAATTTGCCATTTAACATATTTCAAAATGTGCAAGGCCTCATGGAAATGTGAACTCATTAAGTCAAATTCAGTTTGTAATAACCTGGCCAATTAGGGTGTTTAAACAATATATTTTAAGAAGTCATTTTAAAGTACATTTGCATATGGTTGCCTTTAAGTCTGTTTTACTATGCAAAATATAAATATTGTGACAGATGTTCTTATAAAAGTACACAATTTAAAAGAAAATTTTCTCCCATACTCCCACCAACCATTATCTTTACTCAGATTCCATTTAAGCCGATTTCAGAGGGATGCCAGAATGTTTTATATACAGTTTTGGAATTTTGGTTATCTAAAACTGGGAAATCTTTTCATGCTGTAACAATTTTTCAGTGTAATAGTGTTCATTGTAAACAATTTTACCTGAGCTTCTAGTGAACAAAATTAGTGGCTAATTGTTTCCCAGACCTTCTAGGATGTCTGCTTGGAAATATGCCTGAAGGAAAAATAATGAAAAGTTGATCTTGTGAGTAGTTATGATATCAATAACTAAAGTGAATCTTACTATTTCTGCTCAGTTTGTGATTAACACCAGAAAGCTGTTATCTTTAATATATAGTAATCATTTCCTTTGTGAAAGCATTTTATACTATAACTGTTGCACGTTTCTTGTCTGTCTCACTTTTTTTTTTAATTATGTTACATTAACTCTGTCTTCTAGAGATTGTCTGATTGTTGTCCTTGTTTGGGCTTTCAGGATGAATCTGGAAAAACTCAGCAAGCCTGAACTCCTGACACTGTTTAGTATTCTTGAAGGAGAGCTTGAAGCAAGGGACCTTGTTATAGAAGCTTTAAAGGTACGTTAAAAGAAAAAAATGAGAAGTCATCATATGTTTTTTAAGTTGTTTCAGTGGTTGTAATTTATTTAACTAGGATATTTCTATAGCCCCATTGATGTTAGTGGTCTGGGTGTATATACTGATACTTGCTATAGGTAACCACCTATGTGGTGTGATTTTAGGAACAGTGGCAAAGTCTTTTATCCCCCAAAATAGTCACTTTAGTCTCAGCTAATGTCTGGACTTTGAACTTCATTCTTTAGCATAGTGGACCTTTGCTGTTCTTGAATTATGACTCCTTTGAGAACTTGGTGAGACCAGCTTCCTAAAAAATGTATATACGCATATATGCAAAATTCCAGATATAATCTGGGAGATCACGGTCTCTATGAAGACCATCCGTGATTCCCTGGACTCCAGATTAAGAATTTTTAACTTTTATTAAGTATTTGATATCTATTAAAATACAAGGGAGCATAACTCCTTTCAAATCTCATGAATCCTTTATACCTCAGGAACACGTTTGGATAGAGGAAGAAAAGATTTTAAGGGTATCTGTGTGAGCAGTGGGAAGATGATACCCCCGAAAGGAAAGGGAGAAGAGCCAAAGAAAGTGAGACATGAGCATGCGAAAGAAAGCATGGTCCCTGCAAAGTGCAGCTGGGTCTAAATGTCTTAAGATTTTTATGATTTAATATTTTAGCTAGAGGTTATATTGATGTACCTTCCTAAAGTTCATCAGTAACAGGTTGATGAAATTATTTATTATAGTTTTTGAAATTATCCTAGCTTTTATTGAATAAAAGGGACATTTGTATTAATATCTCATGTGTGTCCATATGAAGCTGCTTTGTTGAAGATTTTCTTATAGCAACAGAGATCATTTTCTCATTGCCATTCATTCTAGGAGGCTTAGAGAATCAGTGATTTCCTAAGTACCCAACAATAACCTCTCAGTAGAGTGCATACAAAAAGCTGTATCTTTTCTCTTCCTTAGCTCTTCTTCTTTTTTCCCTTCCCACACTGATTATAGTAAGTGTTTTTATTTAATCATGTTTGGGTAATCTTTTCTTGGATCATTCTGAATTTATAATAGTGATAAAAATAAAATCTGTACCTACATATTTCCATATGCTGTTAGGTTTAGAGTGACATATTAATTTATGTCTTTTAAGGCTAACTGATAAAGACTGATATTTCTATCTAATTAGATAAGTCTCAGAGTACTTAATCATTGAAAACCATTGCTTTTTTGTTTTCCCTTGTAGCTTTGTAATGTGTAGTAAGTAAGCTTCAGTGGTTTCATTTCTCCAGAGTGTATGATGCAGTTCCCTTCAATATGGGGGGATGGGGTCTGTCTTATTTTTTTTCCTTTCCCTTTCTCCTTCAGTCTTGTTTTGCATAGATTCCCTGGGGATCATGTGTTTATAGCTTTGCCATACGCCTATTCACATATGTTAGAATTCTTTGGCTGACACTTTGCCCATCCTGCATATACCTAAGCATAACTGTGTGACCTTCGTCAAGTCACTCAGTCTGTCTGGAGCAAAGCCTTGTCTGTTATAAGAATAAATGATTAGTAACTAATATTTGGAAACCCTGGTGGCATAATGGTTAACAGCTTCAGCTGCTAACCAAAAGGTCGGCAGTTCGAATCCACCTGGCGCTCCTTGGAAACCCTGTGGGGCAGTTCTGCTCTGTCCTATAGGGTCACTATGAGTCGGAATCGACTCAATGGCAATGGGTTTTATTTTTTTTTTTTTGTAACTGATATTTGTGTGTAACAGTTTACAACTTGCATGACATTGCAAATACTCCAACAGTTTAGTGTTCATTTCTTCTTTTCCCTTTATTTATATCCTGTAAGTGCATTCCATGTACATCTATCCAAGAAGCAGTCCGTGGTTGCCAGATATTTGAATGAATGTCTCTAGTGTGTCCTCAGTAATGGCTAACATTTTAATGACTGCCGACACATATTACATATAAATGTTTATTCCATTTGGTGACTCATTTCTGCCATATCCATAGGCCTTCCCCTTTTGTCACTACTGGTAATTTCTCTTCCCTCTCTTGTAAGTCCCTGAAAATCCTGTTCTATTTCTCATAGCTCCATCCCATTATTACCAGAAGTCTTAACCTGTTTAAGCTAACCCAGGATGCCCTGCCATTTCTTATCTTATGTTTATCTGATCAATGAAGAGAAAAGAAAAAGGATGGGGGAAGTTTGAGCTCATTCCTAATGCCTCACCCCTAATGCTGTTGTTATTCCCACTTCCTTCCGCCAGTTCTCCTCTGAAGCCCCTGGCTCCCCTTTCCATAGGAGTTATCAGCAGGGCTTAGAACTGGAAGACTTCCATGGCTTGGGCTGAAACAGGAAGAACTTTGTTCTTGGTGACCCCCTTGAGAACATGAAGTATTTTCCAGGAGCAGTATTATTATAAATAGCAATTAGATTTTATAAAACTATAATAGTTTGGCAACATGTGTTAATCAGACTAACCCAAGGATCTACCCCCACTTGCTTTGGGATTCCAGGAAGCAGCTTCCCATAAATATCACCAATCGACTTACACAAAAACTTATGGGCCTCAACCTACTCATAATTGGGTTGGGGGTGGAGAGATGGCTGCCTCTATTGAAAAAATCAGAGGATGACCTTATTTTTTCTACTGTAGTTTTCCAGGTGTGGGTGTGTGTGTGGGGGGGGGTGTATGTGTGTGTGGGGGTGTGTGTATCCTCACTGCTTTTCAGTCATCTAAAAACCGTACAAACCTATAAAGCTTTACGTTCTGGTAATCATTATATCCTCAGCACCTAGCACAGGGCCTGGTATATAGATGCTCAATAAATATTTATTGAACAAATTAAAAGATTGTGCCATTGTGGTGTGTAGCTTTAGAAGATTACCATAATACTTCAGACTGAGTTGTGTGAATTATTAAATTTTACAGCCTGTTCTTATGTGCTCTACAGCATATTGCTTTCTGGTTTTAATGTTAACAGATGCTTAGGTGGTTTATTGCACATGTTTTCCTAAAATATATTTTTTCTGCATGAATCCAATTTTAGTTACTATAGGCAGCTTCTGACAAGTTGAAAGAGCAGCTTGAGAAGCAAGAGCTATAATTAAGGGAGCATTTTGAAATCAGATACCATCCAGAATCAGGCACAAGTGTTGTATTCAGTCTGTGCATGCCGTCTGTAGGTGATAAAGTTATCTTCTGAGGCTTAAACTTTATACAGTTGAGGTAAAATGAATAGCTTCACCAGAAGTAACAAGTCTTTAAGCAATCTATTGTTAGATAAAGTAAGTGGCAACTGGAATCAAAAATGTTTCATTCATTTAGAAAAGCAACTGTCATACCAGAGTCTTTAAGTTGGAATGAATCTCTTGTTACTTGTGGAGTAGTTTTTTGTTTGCTTTTTTTGTTTTGTTATTTTTTTTGTCTGTTTTGATTCTGTAATGAAGATTTTATTTCATATTTTTTATAGCTCTTAAGAACAAATATCTGTTGGACTTCTTGGACTAATATGGCAGTTTACTAATTTTTTTCCTTTTAGTATTCTTTCTTAATTCATGCTTAGGGGTGGTTTGAAAACGTTTTGGGTTTTGTCCTAAATGGCTATAATTGGCTTTTTCCTTTCTGTTTCAGTAAAGTTTATCTTTCTATTCCTCCCCTTACCTTCAAGATATATTTTTCTGAACATAAAATCTATTCTTCAACCTTGCATCTCTTAAACAAAACCATATGGTTCGTTGTTGCTTCTAAATGAATACTAGGTCACTCTGGCAAGGATTTGATTTATTTAGGGATATATTATAAAGTTACTGTAGTTTGCAGGTAGATCCTATCTATAGAGCTATAATTATAAAATAGCTTCATTCATTTTCCAAAATTTCTGCAAAGTGCCACATTGGATTTATACCCTTCTAGAACCCCGGTAGTTATGTTCTCTTTCTCCCCAAAATAAAGTCTCTTACTCTTCTGTTACAGCCAAGACATGTTTGGCATAGAACCAGGGAAGCCAATAGAAAATAATGTAATGCTCAGGCTTTCCTATATTTGAAGTCTAAGGGCTACAAAGGCCATTTATACTGTATTTGGTCCTAATTGAACTTTATATAAAGTGATTTTCTGTTTTAGAAGGGATTGCATCAGAGAAAAACATTGTTTATGAAAATCTTTCCTTTGACCACTTTATTTTCATGAATGAGTACACTATAGGAATCTCACAATGTAAGCAAATTGCATTGCCCATAAACTGTGGGAGGGGATGGAGGAGACCATACAATTCAGCAAAAGAGACTCAGCTCATTAATTCCAAGCAAATGTATGAAATAGCTGCCCAGCGTGATCTGTGACTGCTTCAGAGAAAGATGAGGGAACCTTAATGAACAGCCATTTTAAAAATCCAAAAAAAAAAATAGATTTAACTGCTAATCAAAGTTCGATTAAACAGTTTATTCTTGAGGCTTCCAAATTGAGTGTATTAGATATGCATGTCTTAGATACGATGGAAAGCCACACTTAGCTATGTCTAAATAGAATCTACCCTGCATTTATTAGTATTGTTTTATTTTAAAGCATTCTGTAAATTGCTTATACATTGATAAATGGTAAAGTAGTACAGCTTTTATGTAGAATTGGCTTAGGCAGTCTTCAATTCTTTTCCAGTGATAACCTCAACCATAAAACAGGTATAATTCTTTTAAAGCCTAGGATGAAACTTCGTTGTTTTTGGCCAATGGCTATTGCAAAACTCCCCGAGAAAGAAGATTTACAGGCAAAAATGTTGTAGACAGGGCAAAGTTAGAAATATATTTGGAGTATGAGACTATGTAATATGTCACTCTGTTGGTTTAACTATTCTGACTGTTTTAAGCAGCCCAGGAATATTTTTTTTTAAATCTAATTGTTACATATATATATCAAATATGGAGACAATAAATGATTTACTTTTGCTGAAAATATTTTTAAATAATAGTTATAATTATCACTAAGGATTTTATGAAA